CACAGAGAGATATTATTCATTTCCAAGAAATCATGACCATTTTATCGACCAGTGTGTATATTTGTTTCTTCATTTTGTGCTTCAGCAGTTCCTACAAACAGTAGCATTTCTTTTCTGTCAATGACACAACACCTATTATCTACTTGAGTCAGTCAAAAAGTTCGTGCACTTTCAAATATTTATTTATAGAGAAAGAATTTTAATGATCTCTTTACAGCAAATGTTCGAAGTAGTCCCCAACATGTTCGATACCAAGTTTCATCCTCTCAATTCACTTTTGAAATGTCTTTTTCTAGTCTTCAATAGGTATCGAAATGAGCTCCTCGGTTATTGTCCTAGCTAAATTTGTTGAATCTGGATATGTCTTAAGACTACGTTTCAGACAATTGAGCAACTAAAAGTCTGAAGAACCAAGGTCAGATGAATATAGTGGATGAGCCATAACCTTAGGTTTTCTTCTTGAAGATAATCAAGATTAAGATTAACCCTTATACGGCAATCTGTGGTCCGCCCGAACTCCCAAAGTTTTCAATCAATGTTAGTTGTACAGTAACATTAGACCGAACTACGCTTCTCTGGGTATGCCTTAATGAAGTGTAATATGAGTAAGCTGAGGATATGGAACAGCCCTTGCCATTCGTTGTTGATGTAATAAACTATGTCGAAATACATATGAACGGTTGTTGTCAACCTGGGATTCACCCGGATCCCAACAGATTTCAAACTAATTTCAGTGTGCATGATATTATATTGGTCTGCTGCTCTTGCCGGAAGCTTTAGTAACTTGTAATAGAGCAAGTTAATAATATTAATCAGTCACTGTCATTCATTGTTCATGTGGCAAAGCATATTGAAGTAGATACAAATACTTTTTGTTTACTTTGAGTCCCTTTTTTCCGTTCTGTTATCACGTATGGAAAACACACACTGCATGTCTCTTGCTTTTTCTTCTGTACCTTCAAGTTATCCAAGTGCATTTTCTTTTCTTCCCTTTCCTTTACTTCTGTTTACTCAGTATCTATCTCTTTTGATCTGATCTGATTGCTTATTCTTCTTCAATCACCCACAGCCACACCCATAAGTTTCGGAAATTTTTTTAAGAAGCCTAGAAATTTACATGATACGGACCAATGGAAATTGTTTAACAGAAAATTTCTTTCTACTGAACAGTCTCGTGTTTTACTTTAATTGCTGTCAGGCTTAGGTTTTGAATATAAGTTAATATTTTTTCTGTCGTTAACTATTGCAATTAGTAGATGTCAAATAATTTCTATTTGATAACTGGAACTTTCTTGAAGCCAGGATTTTTTTCATGGGAAGTGTGTTATATGATGTATATATTATTAAAATCACTAACAAACCAATTGCATACTAGACTAGTTAGATCCCTGATAAATTGTTATATATTATGAAAATAAAACAAACGTTCTTCATATATAAAAAAAACATCAACTATTCATGTCAAGTGTTGATTGAAGGGTCCAATAACGAACATAATTACAACGATGGAAAAATTATCGACCAACGAACTCTGTCATTAAGGAAAACAACCACGAGAAAAGAATAACGAATTTATTTAACCGAGAATATCAAAGAAACAAAGGTATTGAAGTGAAAGTAACCAGGAAAATGTTTCTACACAATAAAAAAAGATAAAAGTACTTGCGAATGTGCATTTATGCAAGACAAGATAAATAATGGACATATTTATTTTTAATAGTTACAGTACTATCCTCCTTTATGATTTGTCTCTAGTATGTTCTATAAGACAATTGTAACATTTCAGAGATGAGATATTACAGAATACGAGTTAATCCGATCTTCACTTCAGCAAGCATTTGACAAATGCATTCTTGTTTTAACACATTAAGAATTGACATACTCGAAGATTTAGTTTTTTTTTTGTCAAGGAATGTCAAGTCAAATAGGTAACAATAAAACAGTTTACATTCATATTTATAACAACTATTTAGATGATTACATGGTGTTCAGTGAATGAAATTCAGATATACATATGGATTTCCTATGTATTCCTATATGTGTGAGTAGGTCAAAAATGGAATAAATTTTCTTGTTTTTAAAATATTACATAGTTCAATAGAGTTCATCAAGTTCTAGAAAACTGTGTATATTAAATTATTTTTTTAAAACCATTTTTTGAGATAAAAATTTTTAAATACTACTAATATATCTACGAAAAATTGAGTATTTTATTCTATGAAAAAAAAACTTGCATATTTTTCAATAAAACTAGTCTGTTAGAGTATTTCATTAGGTCTCAGAAAAATGAAGTTATATATCGCAATTTTGATTGTCAGACAATGATCTCTAAGGAAAATAAACGTCATATTTAGAATTATCAGGTCAAAATATACCGAAAGCTGTATATAATCGAAAAAAATATTCCCGACGAAATTTCGTCTTTACTTCCCTAAGACTTTTCTTTATAAATTTGATTTCTTTGTCTCCTACTGGCGAAATCTTATCAGAAGCTATTTTACGATGATGTATAGAGTCTCCACTGCATTTTTGCTTGCTGATTCCAAATATGACGTGTATTATCCATAACGATCAATATTTTACAATGAAATTTTCGACATATGACTTCATTTTCCTGATATTTAATGACGCATATAGGAAAAGAAAAAGGAGTTTTCTCGACAAAAGTAAAGAAGTTTTTTTTTCTAATCTAATAATGAATAAAATAAACTAAAATTATCGAATATATAAGAAACTCACAGATACTTGATGAATTCAGCGTATTTACACTGCTCGATTTTCCAGGAGAACACTATTCTAAGGTCAGAGCAGTTGCTTAATATATCATGTATGAACCATTTCAATACTCGCATGTTACTTATACCATTTTGCATGATTTAGGTTCTTTTTTTGTATTGTTCTGAGTTTCTTTGTTTTTTTCTTTCGATATGTAATTTTCTTTTTTGGTTCGTAATAAAACTAAAATTTCATGTCATACACATCATTGAAATATTTGACAATAGAATAAAAAATGTTACACATTGAAATATGTTCTTCTATTTCTTATAATATTATATGTTGCATTTTGAATAAAATCTTTTTCTTAGGCCGAAATTTTCAAAATGTGACTTCACATTTTTTCATACCTGAGATACTTGCCCCTACGTTTGCAAAAGATTCTCATCTTGAAATAGATTTTTTTGTTTTTCTACATGATCATATAGAGTTCATCGCAATCATTCGGAATAACATACTTTCAGTGTGTATTATGTTTTATTTGTTTTGTTCTTAAAAAAAATACTTTTTGTGAAGCAAAAAAGTGTATGACGTCTACTCACGAGTACCTTAAAATGAAATCTAGAAGTCCCTAAAAATTTAGAATAGCTTCAAAGTATTAATGTGTTCAATTATAAAACTCTCATTCATTACAAAAGTAACAGAGATCTCATAGAGACAACGTATAGATCAGAAAATTTTTTCATTGATTTCGATTTAAAGGACTTTGAACATTATGAACAAGTTTTGCTTTTACGTAACAGTTAAAACTTTTCAGAAAGTTCTTTAAATGGATGAACGTAATGAAAATGTTTAATATTAAATTATATTTTTATTTTATCAGCTATTAGAATCTGTTTCATGGATGTATCAAGAAAATTCAATAATTGAATAGTAACAAGTAATTTTTCTATGAATTTTACTTATTCTATGTAATGTAAATAGAAGAAAATAAGAAATTCATACAAATAAACTTAGCTTTTTTTTTCAAGAGAATTCTTTCGAAATCAAAGTTTTATGAACGACAATCATAAAAATAAAAACTTTTGATCCCTGTGCTAGAACTCGTCTACTTCAAAATTTTTGGACTCATTTTCGATGGATTAAAATTTTTTTATTTGTTTTCATTGTCATTCTATTTAGATTCCGCAACTAACATGTTTTACACATTTTTTAAGAGATCTTGACGATTATCGTATAAAAATATGGAAGTAATTAACTGTTACTTTCAGAGTAACAACTGTCAGCTCAAACATGGAATGTTCAGATCTTGACTGACTTCGTCCTCAGACAAATTGTATCGTCCATTGATTGTAAGAGAAGCTAGTCAAAGACTCTTGCAGACCATGATCGACGTTGTTGATATGCTTACAACTAAAGATCATATACTAATAACATCTCATCATTACTTTCTTATTGTATTTCTAGAAAATTAAATGAAAGAAGGATAAAGAAATGTCTTCAAAGATATTTAGAATAAAAGAATTTCTTTATGATTAGCAAGAGCAACAATATCGTGTCTCATATTTTAACAGTTTTCTTTATAATTTCAATTCTATTTTTGATTCGGAAAAATTTCGATATTTTCGAACAACAGAAAATAGTTTCTTCTTGCTCCGTCGACAATAAAAATGAACATTTTGTTAAAAAAAAAACAAGAAAGACGAAATTTCAACCTTCTTAAAAAAAGAAAACATCAGTTGTTTGTGATAAATAACAAAGAATTGGACAATAAGTTATAAATTATCTGAAACAAAGACTTTTTTTTATCAATTTATAAGAAAATTTTGATGCTTTATATGCTAACCGTTTTCTACAAAGATTCCTTCAGTAAAGTTAGCCTTCACTTCCTCCACCACCGAATACGATATTAATAAAACTTTCAAAAAATATTTTTCAAGATTTTTAAAATAAAAAGGGTCTTCCACAAAAATTTAGAGTAATGATCCTTGTCAAATATTTTTTTTTTATCAATCATATTTTTGAGTCTATGAAATACAAAAAAAATTCATTTTTAAAAGAAAATAAATCATGCTCATATAATCGATTTCATACATTATACTTATAGGTAGACATAGAATGCACATGGTATATAAAACTATTTTTTTTTCTGGTTATGTCTAATCATTCTGCTAACTTTTAACATATATTTATTTCCATCATAGTAAATAACGTATGTTACGATCGGTAAAAAAAAAGATATTACAACCAGAAAAAAAAATCAACTAGTCTTGTTCTTTTATTTTTTAATTTTGTTTTTTCTTCTTTTTCTTTTCATCTTGTAATGATTGTTGACCTGTAAGATTATTTACTTGTCCATTTGCTACTTTTAAGTCATTATGTAACATAGTTTCACATTTGAGATGAGTTTTATCATAATCACCTTTACCATAATCAGGCATACTTGAATAATCATGTTTATCTGTATAACCAGAAAATTTAAGTTGTACACGTCCTTTTTTATCAGTATCAAAATCAAATGTTTCTCGTTTTAATCCTCGAGAAATTTCATTAGAATCTTTAATATCAACAGCTATTTGTCCAGCTTTTTCATCAATAAGAAAATGAGCATTATTAGAATTCATCATTTTAATATCACTTTTTTTATATATATCGACATTATTAAAATTTTGAATTGCTTGATTTTTTTCAAGTTTTAAATTATCTATATTTTGTTGATGTTGTCTAATTGCTTGTATATCTTTTATAGCAATTGCATTTTTTTTTAAAACATATTCATTATTAATTTTAGATTCATAATCTTTAATAATTGATTCATGATAAGCTATTCGTGGTTTTGAATTAGTAATACTAAAAGATTTTACTGCTTCATCTTTCAATGTATTTTGAGATGTTTTCTTCAAATTTTCATATCCATTAATTGCTTTTTGTTGATCTTCTTCAGGTACTTTTTCTTCAATTAATTTTCTATTTGCTTTATCTTGTAATATAATATCTTTTCCACCATTAACTTTATAAATAGCATTTTTAGTTCCTTCTTGAGCTGCTGTCATTATTGCACTTGTCGAAGCACTTGTAACAGTACGTTTAAAATCATATTCATCTTGATTTCCAACAGCTATATTAACACTTTGAATTGTTGCATCACTAACTGCTGCACTTGTTCCACTAACAACAACACGTGTAACACTTTTAGCAACATTAGATGTAACTTGTTTCGATAAATTTGAACTAACATGACTACTAACTCCACCTAATCCACCAACAGCTGCACTTGTTATCCATGAAGCAGCTGTTCCTTTTTCTTCACCATTTTCATCAAAAGTTTTTCCATAATCTGACCATTTTTTATCATTTGTTGAACATTGTTTAACTTCATCTATTGCTTTTGCTGTCACTCCAGTAACAATACCAGTTGTAGCTCGTACAGCTAATTTTTGTGCTCCAGCTTTTACAACTTCTTTAGCACCTTGTTTAACAACATTCGTAGCTATTGTTTCACCTGCAGCACCTACACCACCAGTTGCTACACCTGTAACAGCACCAAAAGCAACATCAGCAATGTATGTTTTTCCATTGATTCGTTCACCTTTGATTGCTTTTTCAGCACCATTCCAAGTTGAACTAATACCAGCACCTAACATTCCACCACCAATAATAACTGCTCCTAAACCTCCAGTACATATAGTAAAAGCTAAACCACCAACTGCTAATGCTGTTCCACCAACAATAGCAAGACTTTTTTGTGTAATATCAGCACTACCATTTACATTGCATTGACAATCACATTGCCATTCATTTTCACAAGATCTATGTCGACCTTTTTTACATGCATTACATATCCAAACCATTGTAGGATAAGATATACAAGAAGTTGTTATTTAATGTACAAAATAAAACTATTCTATTATTTTATTGTGTTTTTATAATCAGAATATGTATAGATGAAGTAATCTTTGATAAATATGACGAAAGAAAAAGAACGCGTCCTCGATTGACTCAGAGTAAAGAATAAATATGACGAAAGAAAAAGAACGCGTGCTCGATTGACTCAGAGTAAAGAACGACGAAGATAGAACGAATAAAGAGAAAAATATCTATGCAATATCAAGGCATTTTTGTGAAATCATATTGTAACGTGTACTTTCATTTATCGTAACTATCGACCTTTATGATACTCTATTATAATGTCTAATGCAATGAAAGGGTTGGATATATCCCATGACACATGGAAAAAAAAACCAATTCTACGAAATAAATAGAGGTCGAATACATACGAAAACAGAGAAGAGAAGATAAATAATAGTTCTATGTTATACATAAAAATAAATAGAAAATGTCAAGAGGAAATAAAAATGGGTCGCTACGAAAATTAATCGATAAAAAAAAAATTATTCAATATGAATTATAGTCATAAAAGTTATAGAAATATAAAAAGATTTTTTTTAAATGAGGATCTCAAGTGAATGCAAAAGAAAAGTATTAATTTAGAAATTCAGCTTTTTTATTTTTGAGAAAAAAAAAATTTCCGTTTGTAGTATCACTTAGTATTTTATTACTATTCAAATTAATTTATTTTTGTTTCATTGGGATACGGCATATCTTTACTTTAATCATATCTTCACACTGATTGATAGAATTTGCATACACACAATGCTATGATGGTGCTGTAATTAAAGTTAAGAATGTTCAAACTTTAATAGTCAATAATAAACTGTTATCTACATTTTGCTTACATCAGGTATTAGCTTTGATGACATGTTAAAATTAAAAGGCTTTTTTGGCTGATTCAACTTTTCCATTAGACATAATGTTGATATAATTTCATAAGAATTTGTGAATGTAACAAATTTAACCTTACTAAAAAAAAACTTTCTATTTTATATCTTGCATTTATCAGAGAAACGTGAATTTCTTCATAGCAATTTTCAGTCTCTTTTTTACTTTTGTTTGGTGTGAGTTTAACCTATTAATCTGATCAATTAATTTTTCGAATACATTTGAAATAGAATGATGACGAGAGAAAATGACTGATATGATATTTCATGAATATAGGAAATGATTCATGTACATTAAATTATAAATATCAAAAACATTATATTCTATAAAAGGATTGTGTTAATCAAATAATCTCAGATTCAAATAGTTTTCGTCGAAATTTATTGTTTATTATTGAACAGCTAAAAATTTACATCTTTCGAATTGATGAAGAGTGTTTAATAGAAAGTTTCTTTCTATTAGTAGATTTCTTATTTTACCTTTAATTATTGTGAGACTTAGTTTTAGAGTGTAAATAGTCTGAAGATTTTCAATAAAAAGAATGTTTCATATGCAATAATATATCTGTGATATTCGATAGAATATTTATTTTTTTTCTTTGTTTGTAAGCGTTCATATTATTTATCATATCGATTTATCTTTTGCAATAACCTATGTAATTTGTCATATGATAATCTCGCTCTTACACGAAGAATCAATATATTTGAAGACTTTGTTTTTTTCAACAAGGCATATATAATCATATAAGTACGTTGAAATTTTTCGAAATCATATTTTACAACAATTGTTTACATTTCAAAATTCTTTTAAGTAAACAACATCGTGATTATACACATATGTTATTATTTTCTATTTGAACCTATACTACTTTAGATTATTTAGATTTTGAGATTCATGTTGATTTCTTTTTTGTTTTTTCTATTGAGTTCGAAATAATGTAAAAATCTGATGTGACAAACAAGTTATAAATATTTGACAATAGAACAAAAAAAAATAAAAAACAGGATTTGTTGCAAAAAAAAAATAGAATACTGGAATTTTTATTTTCTATCTTATACAAATTCAGAATATATAAACGTTCTTTTAATTGATATATGCTAATTTTTTATTTATTAACCTAAATTATAAGAAGTGAATCCGTAATTCAGAGAACGAACAAAACAATTTTGCTTTCATAAATAACAATGACAATACTAACGCCTTGCTCAAAGACATGATAAATACAGTGAAATACATATTCTTTCGTGCAGCTTCAATCATTATAAATAGAATATTTATGCAAAAAAAAAACATTGTATAAATCGAAACATATTATACTATACATTGAATTTTGAGTTAAACAACAAAAAGTTTAATATTTTAAGAGGGTGTAGGTCTCATTTCATTAGCCATCACCATGAACACCCACACGCACACCCTTTTTTTATGAAGTTGCACATAATCTTGAATGTATCCTGGGTTCTGTTATTTGCCTTTGATGTTCTCTTTGGATATTCGAAGTTTTATGCCTTCCATAAGCCATTTTGTCCTTGGCAAAATATATGAACATTTGAATTATGTAAGTTGATCATTCAATGTTTTCGTGTGATTCAATAAAGCACTTATTGATATTATATAAGCTTTTGTTACGATATTGTAATCTCAACATTAATGACACTCCTACACTAATAAATTCATCCGTATATGATTTATTTCTATCGATTTCGATGATAAAAACAATTCATTTGTGAATAACAAAAGCGATTATACTCAAGATGAGTTAAGCCATCATTATTGTTACGAACACAAAAATTCTTATTTTATTCTATATAAGGATGTTGGATCGCTTAAGTCTCGAGAAAACGTCTAGATCAGCATCATCAAGTTGTAAGTATATATTACAAGATGCTTTGATGAAATCTTAATAATAAAAATCAAAAGTCTTCAAATCAATCAGTACTAATCCTATTTGATGGTGCTTCATCGATAGTATTTAACATATTAAAAATTCAAGTATCTCACACTGTTTCATAAGATTCAAATCTTTTTCTCTAGACTAGAATTACTTAATTTCAAATTAGTAACAAATCTTATGACCTGAGCTGAACCAACTTTGACTATACGTCCTAGTTCATAAGGATCTATTGGATTAATCACTGGATTTATTGAAAATGTCTAAAATAGTTTTCTATATCAGTGAGATGTGGAATTGTAATAAGGAGGATTGTATTTTTTGTTTTACTATATGCGTAATAAATATTAGTTCAAGTTAAAGTGATCTCTGTTTAAAAAACTGACAATCATCGAATGCTGAATATTTGATAAAAGAAATTAAGATGTAACTCTTTACAATTCTATATTTCGCTTGAATGCAAAATTTATCTCAGACGACAGTGAGAATTGTATTATTGACTTCTTGTTTGTTTTTTTTATAGAAAACTGGTACACATTATCAACAAATTCGATATTAGCACATTTGAAATTATCATACATTGATGATGGAAGATTTGAGTAGCAATAAAGAAGTTAAAATGAAGCACGCATAATTGTTATCATATACTTTTCTTGCTGCTATAGGATTTAAAATAACTTATTGACTGCTGATGCTCATCAATAACTGATTTTCGTAAAAATATGTAAATATTAAAAAAGTGAATTGGATTTTATGTTATGAAACAACTAACGCATCGACTCAATGAGCGCCTCGTTTAGCTCAGTATTGGTAGCAAGAAAAGATAGCATAGAATACTGACTCTCAAATTGCTGAATTCATTCTTCAATAGGATTGAAATAAAACCCTAGAAGTCTTTGTGTGGGTGTGAATTTCAGCCTTCATGTCACTTTCACACACACCTACATCTTCTTTCAAAAGAATCGATTTTCTCAGCAACGAAAAGAAATTAAGAAAAAAGTGGTCCATACTTTTGTAGCCCCGTTAAACGGCAGTTTGAATGAGACATAGATCAAATTTTTAGTTTTTTATAAAAAAAAAGAATCAGATAGATTTACAAGAGTATGCACTATATGTTATCGCCAATGATACTGTATTATGACAATTCTTGAAATGAAAATATAATATGTGATAAAACTTTAGATGACTCTTTGAAACCCAATTTTATATGAGGAATTCAAAAAATAATGCCATTGAGAGTGGAAAATGAACAGTTAACGAATAAGACATTCGCTTTCTTTGAAGTACCATTGATTCTGCATGCTAACATTCTCTAATTTTTTTAGCGTTTTTCTCTTCAAAAACTTGAACGAAATGACAAAAAATAAAGTCGGATTCATGCTCAGAGTCAAAAACATGACGTGCTATAACGTTGCATTACGCGCCCCTTACATTTTATCTTGTATTCTTTCCCTTTATCTGTTTCGATGAGTGTTGCTTTGGGTTTTTTCCTTATCATCTTCACCTCTTAACATGATATCTTTTGTCGCTGTGTTAGTCAGTTCATTATCCTTTAAAATTGTTGTTTTGGTTGTCGTATGTGAGTATCTAATGCATGATGATCTCAGAGTTGTGCACATTTTTCTTTGCATGAAGCATTTACTATATTTTTTTCCACTGATGAATTCTTTTTAATAATGCTTGTTATATTAACCTTAGATAACTGATTGTGATCTAAAGAAAATGTCAGTTATTCACGAATTTATTTTTCAAAAACAAATTCTTTTCGAATTGCGAATGTTTTGAAGCAATATGTCTCGTTAGGTGTTTTTGAGATAAAGCATTCTGTATTAAGAGTCACTCTTCATTCTTATTCTCTGCTGCCAACTGGTTTAGATGTAGGTGTAACATTCCCTATAAGTCAAAGGCTTTTCATGCCTCTACAAACGTTTAATTATAACCACGGATATACGAAAAAAAAAATGCTGAATTCTTTATTTTCGACATGTTATTTTCGTTATTTCTATATTTCAAATATGATAATTGTATTGCTGGTGATTAAAATTACAAAGTATAATTAAAATAATCTGGTAAATACTAGTAAGAGTGCTTAAGTTTCGACACTTATCGATTCGATTTCTTATCACGTGTCACGTAAGTTGAAAGAAAGCTTTGACTGTAATCAAAATTTTGTAGTATCTCTTGTCTGACTGCGAATAATATTCTCAATAGAAAGATTCTGAGCAAATATAAATTAGTTAGTTCTTTCTTAAGAAAAGGACTTTCATTGTTAGAGATAGGCAGCGAAAACAAAATTGACTTTTCATTTGAAACTCGATAATCCAAAACCATAAGGAAAAGAATACATATGTAGAATTGGAATATTACTAGTCATGAAAAGAAAAATAATCGATCAATGTCTCGCCAATATCGAATATTTTGCAGCATGAATCGATAGAGAATATTCCTACCAAAACGTTATAATATTTTTTTTAATGTTCTGTGACATTTAGCTTTTTTCACTAAATTATTTTTCTGTATCACGACATGAATATCACTTCAAATAATTAAAAAAGATAAAGTTTTTTTTAAGCCATAGAAAAGAGAAATCGTCAAGTTGGTCCATATTCGAATCTTTTCGTTCAGAATTTTGTAGATTTTCTTGCATCTACTGAATATCAATACTCAAAATATGGTCATTGAAAAAATTCTCTTTCCGGCACCAAATCCACCTGATTACACATTGACTTCACATGGAACGCATTTATTTTGGTTACCAGCTGATCGCGATTCCATTCGAATGCCACAAATCCCTTGTATGCTCTATTCGCCATCGCGAGAGGCCAAGTTCTTCATTATTTGGTGTCATGGAAATGGTTGTGATACCGGTAGCATGCATACGTTATTAATAGCCTTGAGTCGACGACTTGATTCGCATGTACTCATTTTTGAATATCCTTCATATGGATTGTGTCAAGGATCAACAGAAGCAAATAGAGAAACAATTGAAAATCATGCTGAACGTGCTTATTCGTTTGTTCATGAGACGCTCCATTGGCCAACTAATCGAATTCTTATCTATGGCCATTCAATAGGAAGTGGCACGGCATGTCATATTGCTTCAACAAAGCATATCGGTGGACTTATTCTTCAATCTCCGTATACATCGATCAATAGTCTGATTCGAGAAAAAGTTGGTTTTTTGGGATACCTAGTTGGTGGTTCATATTGGAATAATCTTAACGCAATGAAGAATATAAATTGCCCAACACTGTTCATTCATGGCCAACGCGATAATTTGATTCCGTCACAACATTCACAAACATTGCACGATTCATTGACACACATTCGAGACAAGCAACTGATCTTACTATCGAATGATGATCATAATTCTATATCAGACTCAGTCATTCTAGCTTATGTAAACGTATTTCTGGAAGAATTTTTTTCTTCGCCAAGCAAATCGTTGCCTCAAGTACGGATTCATTCTGATTTACGTATTCCACCACCACTAATGAAGAGTTCATCATCTGCATCATCTAACAGTTTATTTTCGTCTCTTCTCGAAGTCTCCAGAGCATCAACGAATGCTACTCGAACAGCATTCAATTCTGTCTTCTCAAATGAATCCAAACACAATAATGACTAGAATACAATTCCAATACTAACTATTTATTATAAGCAAGATTTCGCATTTTTTTAACATCTTTTTCCAATCTGATTGATCGATAGAGGTGTTTTGAGGATTATGAAATAAAACAAGAACGTTTTTTTTTACGTCGATTTGTTTTTTCAGTATTGCGTCTATGTTGCTAGTGTCTTAAAACCAATGCCTTTCAAAATAACTAATTCTATGCTTGTCTATTTGACAATTTTTCTATGACTACAGTAGCAGTATTTAACATTTAGCAATGGTTTGTGAGAACAACTAATTGACAAGAGCATAGTCAAATACTTATAATATTGAAATTTTCGAAACGTTTCATCAAGTATCATAAATAGTTTTTTTTTCAAACCCAATCAACAATCTTGAAGGTACTATACTCTAAAAACAACGTAGTTTTGGATATTCTGTAAAAGTTTATGAGCAAAAAACATCCAACTTCTCGAAAACCCTGAAAAGGCTTCGAGAGAGAGACTTAACAGTAGAAGAAATTCATGCGTTATTATTAAAACCACTTCTTGTCTAGTTTAGTGTTCTACACCTAAATTTAGAAAATAATGATGACAAGAAGTATGGTACTGAAAAAGGGCTCTGACTCCATTGGTGTAGCTAATAAGAGAGAGATATGACTCATTGAAGACTTCATTGCATTGTTACAGGGTCAGAACAGTGAAAAATCACTCATGCCAGCGTACCAGCCGGTCCAATCCCGTGATGAAAAAAATCCTACCGTCTCAAAATCTGGCAAGACCGTCTCCAAATTGTTTTTGGTTAATGGATACATAAAATCGATACTATTGTAGCGAGTAACCAGCCAACAACGATTACCTGCAATAGCTCGTGTAAAAATCATCAAAAATTTTATTTTTAATCATTAATTATCACTAGTCTTAGCATTCAAACGTTACTTGTATGTGGATGCAAATATTCTCTACTTTCATACTCACTCACATCCACACCCATCCAAAATGATTGTGTTTCGACATGTGTTGTTTGCAGTGACATACAGGTGTGCCTAGCAGTCAAATGGCTATTGGACAGCGTTCTGTTCATGCGTTCATATTGAATAAAAGCATTAAAGACATATTGTTTTACTAATCATCATCTCATTAAAAGAAATGCATATTCAGCTCTGTTCGAGTGAAACAATGGCAACTAGAATGTAATCGAACAAAATACTCAGATATAACACTGGTTAGTTGATGTAAACTACAGTTTTGTATATGATTTATTCAATTAAAGAATGTGAGAGACATAAGCTTATATATTTATAGTGTTTCGAATCTTAGCTCGATGTTTAAAAGATAGACAAGCAAAGAAAAGCAATAAATACGACGTATGCGCTATAAAAAATATGCAATGTTGCAGTTTTGGTTCCCATACATGATGTTTCGTTTTGTGACGCTGTAGTTGTGTTTTGTATCGTGCTGGCCATTGATGACTGTAGAGGGGTTTCCATGTCAACTGTTGTGTCCTTTGACTCGTCCGCCATATTCAAAGCAATGAGCATTGGCTTCAAATCATAATTCTTCTTCGTTGCATTACGAATTTGTAAAAGAATTGATTGGTGGTTACATTCGTTATAATCACATGCAATAGTGGTCCACATGCGTATTATATTTTGAACAGTGTCAACAACGCTGATGATAAAAAGACCAATGGAAAGATTATTGTCATCACTATCACATTCTTGTTTTTTGTTAGTTTCTTCAGAATCAAAAACTGCAACGCAAACGCTACTAGGACATGATTGGGCTGTTGAATCATTGACAATACATTTCACTATGTCGGTCAAAAGTCAAATAAAGGAATACTTTTGAAAGAGAAGTTAACTTTCATTCTAAATGAGCTTAACCTATTGCGATCTGAATTCTTTCTGCTGAATCAAATTTGATGAAACTTGATTCATGGAGTCAAAATTTTTTTGAACTAAAGAAACTTGACATGGTGCAATTTCAACCGTACAATCTTGTACGAACCTCTTCTGTATCGAAGATTCTCAAAAATTGGTCGAAGATTTGAAAATTCTCGAGAGGCGGAAAGTATGCTTTCCACTGGTCCTCTTAGAGTTAAATTAAGAGTAGAAGTATCAACAGATGATCGGTTATCATTTATGATAAGTGCTTCAAGAAAAAATATATAGCAAAGGAATTCGGACTCTTCTTCCACTTTTATTGATAATGACATAAAACTAATCTCAATAGTTTTGTCTAAATCACATGCAAAAATTCGTTCTTTATTGATCTATGAATGACTCATTCGAGAAAAAATCTTTGCTCGACGTAATATCACTCATCAGATCGGTGTTTAGCTGGTGCACTATTAAGAACTAGCTAGTTTTGATATAGTAAGCTTTCCCAAAGTCTAATACATTACATAATATTATCTTACGTTGATCGCTTCCTACACAACTTCGTTGGCATTCGAACAGTTTAGCTAACTGGTAAAATGTCATAGTGTTAGAAAAAATTTTATGCATATGCTTAAGAAGCTAGGATAGTAGACGGATTTAAGCATTTTTTCTAGGTACTGAATATTGAGATACTTACCTGAACCGTTTGTATTCTCCACCAGCAACGGATGAATTACCGTATGCAAGGATATATATTGCGCCTCGAGAAGCCATAGAATTTGATTGAGGACAAACTTCTTTTCACATTCTTCATCAAAGCAGGCATATTCAAGATAGTTGACGAGGTTTGTTGTTCGATCATTCCTAACTTTGATATTTGTGTCAAATCGAACATAACCATCGGGCAGTTCACTATCTTTCAGTTGCGGAGTGAATTTCATCTGTAACTCTTTTTCACTGTAGTCAACATCTAGCAAGATTCGGCACGGATTTTCGATGTCATTTTCATCAACTTTTAACTTGTTAAGCTGTTCTTCAAACGATTGAATATCGAACTTAGCGATTGACATCTTGAAACTATTGTCCATGATACATGAAAGACCATGATTTAGGGGAAAGATAAGGAATAAGACAAGTAATAGGAAAATCTTCATAGTGTGTCGAGAGACAAGCGAACGGTTGCTAGCTTATTGAAATAGTGATATAAGAATTCCCAAGAGTTTATATACTTGTTGTTTGTCAATAAAAAATTTTCTTAGTGGCATATATATGAACATAACTTTTGCATACTGACAGCGAGCTCATAAATAGATGATTAATATTTTCTATCGAATAACAACAATTCATCTTCTTGGTAAATACGTCTTATTAAATTTATCAAATATTTGCTGCATGATATTCTTTTTACATGTTGTGACGTAAACAGGCTTGATAAGTAGATAGTCATTGAAATGTTTGCATGCGACAATGATTTTTTTCTTATTGAGTAGTGAAAGTTTTATTACACGTGCATTTTTCATTGAAGTGTTTTACTAAAATCTATGCAGCCTGATATAGACGTTCGTGCTGATTTTGAATATACTGTCAATTTTTTTTCCCACTGAGTTTTGATAATAAAAACTGTAATAATCAAGACTATTTTTGGTCGTTTTACTATGAAAAGGGAAAAATGCTCGCTTTTCTTCAGAAAAAAAACTAAATGAGTACCTTTGTAGCTTGAAACTGGTTGATTCAAATGCGATAGGACAAATAGTTGATCTTCTGTCACAAAAAAAGGCTAGATAAATCTACAAGAGTGCTCATAGATACGTGCTTGTTGAATTGGAAAGAAACTATTTATAAATAATTTAGAAAGAAGACTCTAGAAACTTAAATGCTGTTTTGAGAAAAAAAGTGATTTTGATCATCTTTGTGGTTATAACAGTATTTGGAGCTTTTTAAAACCAAAAGCTAACCTAATTGAAATAAAAAATATAAATAGTCATTTTCTTTTTGTGTACTAAAAATGTGAGTACAATCTAGAATCGGTCAGTGTGTCAGTCCGGTCGTTTACATGATAACTTTTCAACGAGAGTCCGAGCATGATGAAGTTTTCTATACAATTGAGTCTTAACAATATCTCGGCCGAGTTTAAAGATGAGAAGAATTGGCTGAACCGTTCCTGAGTTATTGCAAAAATACTCATTTTTCCCTATGGCTTCCTATGCGAAAATCGACCCATCCTCACTTTCGTAAAAAACTTTTCCTATCATAGTCAAACAAAACCCCAACTATTATATATCATTCGATAGAGAATTTTACGAGCTACAAAATGATACATAAAACATAAAGAAACAAGAAGGCTAGCTCACCTATTGCAAAGATAAATAAACGGAAATCGGTTCTGTTCTTGTCCGCGCTCTAACGGATCCACAATTAGAGCACTATCTTCAGATAAGAGGTGATGCTTGAAGGTTTTCTGGGGTGGAGAACTCGAATCTGTACTCCACTTGTTTCGAAGCCCTATTGGTTGAGCAGTAGTCAATAGACTTCAAGTGTTTATAGAAAACGTTTGCCAAGCTAATTTGTATATCCACACATTCTAGGATGACTGATTTGTCTCATTCACTTTTTGAAGTACACATAACTCTCGGACTTAAGCCCGAGGTTTCTACATTTATTTTTAATCTCTGATTGAATGAGAATTGTTTGCATCTTAGGAAGTTTAAGCGATCAAAACCGATAAAATATTTGGCAGTATCCATTTACAGAAAATCTCTTAGAATGTCGTCGGATCCGATCATCAAAAACTGTATCACATTTGTCTCTTATTATAAGTCAAGTGCAGGGCAAGTGAATCTCTCTCCAGTGTTGAGAAAAACAACATTTTTTTGCCGATTTTGTAGCTAGATAATACTGAACACTCTAAAGCATGATAGTGGGGCGTATTAATCTTTTCTTTCTTTTGAATGCTAGATGATTTTCACGGTAGTTTTGCACATAGAAATATAGCCTTTATACTCAAATTATAGAGCCGAAACTTGACTGTCAAATTTTTTCGGAGATTCACTTTTCTGAAAAGATCATCAACATAGTCTTGGGAGTAATACAAAAATGTTACTTTCTACTGAAGTAAATATTTTTTGCGTCTTTTCAACCGCATAACTATTTCTATGGGTGTGACCGAGCTATCATCTTGTTATCAAAGTTACATTTGAAGTCAGGCTTCACCAGTTAGATGTAAAACATTTGATTCATTCTGTAGAACTATTTTAGAAACCACTCAAGGCTAAAAAGTAGCTAAAAAGTAAACATGTCACGCCTGCTAGAATATGTAAGCAAATAACCATGCAAATGGCACTAAGAAGTTCGATGCAATCAGTATATAGTAGCGAAGCTTGACATGATGGCTCTTGTTCAACTATATGTAGTTGAACGAGCGAGTTATGATAGAGAAGACGTCATGAATATATAAATTTCTATAGTTTTTGCTCTGTTCATCTTGAAAAGATTAGACAAAGCTCGTTGAATATTTGGTTGACACGATCATACCCTACAATACATACTCAATCTATATCAACATAATAGTTCGAGAAAGAACTCTTACCTGAAGACCTGATGCAAACATCTGGCTATAAAGTTTTATGGAAAAATTGTATTCGCCCGTAGACGATTGTGTTGAATTGGTTTAACAACATCTCACATATTAATTAAATTCCTTGGCAATTTACCATCGTTTGTCCTAAAATAACTGGCAAGCAAATCTGCAGCATCCACATTATAGGTCTAATTGTGGATATGAATTAGAAGAAGATCATCGTCTACCAAGATCCACATTAACAAAGTCCAGTTTCATGTCGGCATCTCGTTTCTTTTTTGTTTTCGCAAAGAAGACTTGCATTGGTGTGAAAGGCCACGTAGAGAAAGTTCGAATAACAGAACTTGCAATATTCAAGGCTATGGTTCACTCTTCTTCACGTTTATCATTTTAGAAGAAGAGACATTATAGACAAACAACACCGTCAGCGTATCTAACAACCAAAGATGTTCCATGATGCACCTCATTTATATGACGCATTGGTCACAATATATTTATCCCGATTAAGTATTGGACAACAGCGTGTTAAGAAAGATTATTTGTAATGGTTTAGCAGCCAACAGGATCAATATGTTCTAGTATAGTGTACAGATATGAAAATAACTGTTGACATGATTCATGCAGCAAATTGTCACATGTGATTGAAAACAATGTTATAAATGTGGTCGGTGGCATTGAGCGATGATATCAGAGAAATGAATACAATTTAATTACATGATCGAATTTTAAACGAAGAATGAGAGCACAACTTGATACTTGTTCACAACCAATTCTTATCTTCCAGATCGTATCAGGGATTCCGGATCTTCGCCAAATAGCACTTTCGCCAATGGCGAAACTCCACTATACTTTTGTCAATAGACACACTGGAATATCGCCAATTGGCGAATGGCCAGTGTACTTTCGCCACCGCACTTCATGGAGTTTCGCCGGTTGGCGAAAGTATAGGAGATTTTCGTCAATTTAAGTGCTAATTAGACGTGAATTAGAAAATGTGCATTGATTATATTAATAAGCGTAAGCTATAGTATATATTCTAACAGTATTAGCTTTAACCCTTACATGTATCCTGTATTAATATTATTTTGTGACGGCTGACAAAACTCCACTATACTTTCGTCAATTGGCGAACGTCCACTGTACTTTCGCCAATACATACCTTGGAATTTCGTCAATTGGCGAAAGTCCACCGTACCTTCGCCAACACATCCCTGTACTTTCGCCATTGGCGAATGTCCTATTGGCGAAAGTCCGAATTGGCGAACTTCCGGTAACCCTCGTATCATGGTAGCAGATCGTTCTCAATTGATTGTTCATCAATCTTGTCTTCAACATTCCTATTAGATTCCGGTGTGTTAGACTCACTATCGTATAGCGGAATAGAGTCATGATACATTCATGAAGTAAGACCACAATAACAATCATTTATAATGCAGTTTTGCTCAGAACAGTCGACGAGCCCACACCATATTCCGATGTCTTTAAAATGGCTCATATATGTGCTTGTCATTATCAATCGTCATGAAGAACTTAAACAATAATATCAATAAGTTTAATGACATAACTAGGAAGCTGTCACTGAGAAGGCAAGCTAATGAAAGTAAAATTTTTCAGCAGAGAGAGGAACACTGCAGTTTGTGTCCCGCCTTCCCTTCCCACAATGGTCACACCAGTAAATAAGCTTGATCAAAATTCAAATACTTGCTAACTCTAACTAAATATTTTTTCTAAGAGTGCAGCTGCACCCTTGTTCTCTTTCCAGAAATGACGTGTATATCAATCTGCTGATAAGCAAGATCTTATTGTCCCGTTGCTCGTTTATTTCAAAACCATCAGAAACAACAAACAACATTATTTTAAATAGAAACAAAAACACAAACGATCATTCAACATTCTAGACACCAAACACAGTCAACGCACTTCAATCGAGAATTCTCGGACTCGATTCTTTCACTTACCGCTAACATAGAGATTGCCATGGCAATAGAAGGCAAAACCGAGAGAATTATTGAGTTGGTTCGACAGCGCTTCATGACCATGTTCAGGGTGTGCGTGAAAATGGGAATGCAAATGAGGCTAGGTCATGCCAGCCCGACTTGTCTTCTAGTCTTTGTCTCAAAAAGTCATCGACCAGGATTAGTCTGAAGTCTGCTGCGTCCTTGATTGGGAAGGGGTCGGTATATCTGTGTAGTCTAGTCTTTTTCTAGAGAAAGATTCATTCAGGACTACTTCATGTTCAGTTAGATATAAAGCTATTGTCTGAAATGCATACTAGTCCTCGACTAAGACTTTTTGAGACAGAGACTTGACAAATCGATTCAACAAGAAGCCCATTAGAAAATGATTTAAAATTGAGAAATGAAGACCGTCAGAAACGGTTTCTATAATGCTCAATAGTACGATATTTTCGAAATATATAAGGCGAAGATTTAGATCCGAATATGCATACTATATGTTACTTACTCAGCGTTGAAGTCATTGAACCGTATGATCGAGAAATCAACTCATACAATTCCACTAAAGATTCGTAGATACTATTTATTAGAATACTATTTAGAGTTTTTATAAAAAGTTTGATTTGGATAAAACGTTTTTCATTTAAGTACAACATTATGTGGATCAGTTTCAAAAAGAATATGCAGATATAATGATTTTACATTAATTCATTTGAAAATTATAACTACACTATACTTGTGTTATCTAAATGAGTTCTTAAATTCAAACAATCAGAATAAATATTGAAAACATCTAAGCAATTTTCAATTTTTAAGTTCAGAGTTTTTACTAAAAGATGAACAAAAAGTTTTAAGTATTCTCCTACTTGTTGGTACTTTAATATAGTTTTTTTATATGAACATTCAAAACCTACCAAATTTTTGCTTCTTGAAAAGTGCTCAGCAACATCTTGAGTTTTAAAGACTGTATATTATTTTCACTCTAACTAGAGAAAATAATATTCATACCAATCTATATACTTATTAGTATACATTCAGTAATTATCTATCATGAAAAGAAAGACGTGTTTTCACATGTCATTCTTTTCTCAAATTTCCATTATATACGTCTATATTTTTTGCTATTTAATTTATTAACTGAATAAAGTAGATGTAACAAGACAAAACTGAACTGAACATAAACTTATTAGTAATTTACCTGAATCATTAGAATACAATAAAACTATATGAGAGTACTCAAGAAACATTCAGTGAGTACCCATGAATTCTCGCAGTATTTTCCAGTATGAGTACTTTTAGAATACTTGCTTGATGAGTATCTTCACTAGAGTATCCACCAATTATTATCAACAAACGAAGTAGATATTGAAATATTTTTCTTGCATTAAATTCTTTTTCTTTTTATTATCAATTAGATTAAATCAGTTGCTTGAACAATTTAGTACGAGAAAAAATGATTTGCTTAGAAAATCAAAAAAATTAGAATAATCATAAATGGTTGCAGAAGACGCTTCAAACTAGCCATATCACTTATCTTCAATCATTTTTTGTATTGACTAGCAAACAGATAAATGTCTTTCTGCTATTTACACTGTTTAAACTAATGTTACTCTCTCGTTAAGTTATAGTCTGTTATCAGAATACTCATCAGATATTATATATTGTTGGTTCGGATGATCGAAACCATCTCTTATCTTCTTTTACTGTTCTATGAAATAGTCTGTACGTAGTAGGTACACAAACAGACTAGATATAACGAGATGCAAGGACGTCATGGGTTAGTCTAGATGTGGCTATAAAATATTACTTCTTAAAATAACTTGCCATGACGGATATGAAAGATATTTCAAACAAAAACTGAAAGTTATTGCAAGCATTTCGGATGAGCTATGTCGCTCGTCTTCAATTGTTTTGCTTACTTGAGAAAGAAAAGAAAGTTATAAGAATATAATAAATGTTACTTTGTTTTTTTTTTCTTTCTCTGGCAAGAAGAAAAGAGAAAAATAAATTCACATCATAATAAAGGCATATTAAAGGAAAAGACTAAAGCTAAACGTTTATTTTGCATAGAAGAGAAGAAGAAAAAAAATGCAACCTTGATGACCTTATTATTATGTTTGTTTTGCGAATATTTTATAGATAATTTAAATGATTCAATTTAAAGATAACACATAATAGTGTAATAATGCTTAAACAAAAAGTAAGATCATGCGAATCAAAATGTAAAATTTGTGGATCACCTGCTATTTATTCTTATTATGGTGTTATTTCATGTAGTCCATGTAAAATGTTTTTTAAACGAAATGCTCTATCGGACAAGGTTTGTTTTCATTTTTTTATGTTTATGTTTATTTTTATTTAATAATTTATGAAGAAAATATTCAAGTGTAATTATAATGGTCAATGTGAAATAAATATAAATAATCGTCATATATGTTCTTCATGTAGACTTTCAAAATGTTTTAAAAGTGGAATGAAAGTAGAAATGATTCGTAAACATAGACAAACTATAGTAATTAATAAAAATAAAAATCAATTATCAACAAGTTTAGTTAAATTAAATGAAATAAAACAAGTAAAATATATTAAATTAATAAGAAATTATTATTGTATTTTTTTTTTTTGTTTTTATGTTTCAATAGATTTCAACATTAAATCTTTTAGAAAAAGATAATTCATCATTGAATAATAGTCAATGGATTCTTTTATCAAATATAATCAATAGTTATGATGAATCAAAATTGTTTTTATTAAGTGAAAATCTTAATACTAAACGTAATTTATCAACATCTTTAATTACAATAAATGAAAATATAGTAAGACAATTAATGACTAGTTTTTATGAAACAGCTGGAATATATCTTCGTTATAATAATGATATTAATAATTTATCATCAAATGATCGATCTATATTACTTCATACTGCTGCTGATAATATAACTTGTTTAGGTGGTATTTTTATATTTTATCATACTGATTTAATTAATCATAAAAATTTAATGAATTTACTTGATATTCAATATGGAAAAACAACAATGAAATATCATCGTTGGGCAACTAAATTTACACCATCAAATATTGTTTTATTTAAATTAGCAATTTCTTTATTTGCTTTTTCTTCAAATTCTCGAATACTTCATAGAGATATTTCTCTTGAATTTAATTGTATTAGTACAATATTGGAAATTCAAAATAAATATGCTGAATTAACATGGAAATATCTTATTTATAAATATGATTATCATCAAGCTATTCAGATATTCATTAATTTAATTCAATGGTTTTTATCAATGAGTGTTTTTATGTCATACGCACATTATGCTCCAACACATGTTAATGATATTGAATCGTTAATTAAACAAACAGAATTAACACTTATTTTAGATGATGTAGATAAAATTGCTCAAAATAATTAATTTATCTTTGCAGCAGTTTTTATCGATTTTTTATGAAGATTTATTGAATAATATAAACATTATTTCAAAGCCAGTTCTGATCATTCAGATGTTTTAAAATCGTTCTTGGTCATTCTAGTTTTGGCCAATAAGTTTGATTTCTTGGATTTTGGATGCGCTGTTTCGTAAGAATGTCAAAAATTAAAAAAAGAACAGGATTATTCGTCCAAACTCGAACGGTTTTTAAAAAAATCAAGAAAATTACAACTTGTTGCGAGATATGATTAACTTAAATCGATATTTATCATTAATATCAATTTATTCATTCTACAAGAAAATTATTCTTATCCATAATATCAAATTTCATTTATAATCGTTGATGATAACAAAAAACAAGAAAGAATTCATCAATGTTGTGTTTTAATGTCGAAAATAAAATATTGTTATATTATATATTAAAAATTGTACTGTGTACCCAAGTCGAAACTAAAATAAAGTTTTTCTTCTCTTTTTTTAAACATGACTCGATAGATCTTGAACTGTGGATAAAGAAAAACAAGTGTTTTAAGTTCCTCAATAGAATTTTTCTGATCGAAAAAATCCAAACACTA